CGCTCATCGGATCTTACGAATGGAAACGAGTGAATGTAACGATGAAAGTATCGAAATCGAATGTGTCAAAACAAAGTGACATTTGATTGTGCGCGTATCGTGCGCGCGCGCATAATAAAATAAATGTTAAGCGGTAAAATTAGAATGGCAGTTCAGTCACCCGCGCTCTCGATCGACGCGCGGCCGACGTGCGTTTGAAAAACACATATTATTTTAAGTGCTCGTTCATAAATATGGTCGTTATCGATAATCAATTCGGTATTTAGGTTTCCATTTACCACCCACCACCCTCCACCCGCTCACTCGCGTCTAGATTAAAAACTTTCAAAGGAAACTTCAAAGAAAATCTTAATTTGTCTGTATGTCATAACGATAGATTTAAACAGTTCTTATCAACTGATCAGTGACTTTCGGAAAATAACGATTAAATAAAATAAAATAAAAAATATTATTTTTATGAATTACACAAAATTTTTGTTTTCTAAAAAGTTTTACAACAAATTTATTAAAAAATAGTACATAGATATTAAGAAACATTCATTCATTTTTTTCAATCATTTGTATTAAATTTTTTATTAATAATACACAATCGTAGATACTTCCTAAGCGTGGCCAATTTAAAACATAAATATTTGAATGTTAAGTTTTCAATAATTTAAGGCAATTAAACAGGTGTTAAATCTAGTTTGACGTAGTTAAAGTTAATAATTTTAACAATTTTCAATACAAGTAATGAGGCTATCTCCTTGCGATATAGGACAAGACATAGTTCCCCCTGGAAACTATGACCTGCCTTTTCATCCTCACTTATCAACCTCTTACTGGTAACCCGCCAGTGTATACCGATAGCGCAGGCGGGATTGCCATGCCATTTTCAACCAATAAAAAAACCCCCTTGTATTGCAACAATTTATGGGCGACGGTAGCCACTTCTCAAAATATTTACCATCAGCTCATTTGCCTCATCAGCCAAACAATATAAACAATATTTTCATTTTAAAATAAAGCTTAGCTTAACATACAATAAACATATTGCAAGCTGCAAACGGGTAAACAAAGAACGCGCCCACTAAAATTTTAGCATCAAATACAGCTCCCCAAAAATCAATTAACAAGATCTTCAATCACTATTTAGATTTACGAACACTGAAGGACATAAACTGGGGGGCCACTCATGCGCCGGGAATCCAGGGGGGACGTATTTATAGTGTCGCCGGGGAGAGAGCTTGCAGCGGTCATGGGGTGTACGAGTGGCGTGGCGCCTAGTGACACACCGGGATTTATTTAAACAACTGTTTTGTATAATTAGTGCCACTTTAGTGGCTATAAGAGAAAAAGAGTTATACAGTTAGATGACTCAGCCGGAATATCGGCGTGAGAGAACAATAGGACGTCAATAAATTTAGTATTAGCAAATCAAAATTATAGATACATACATACATACATATCTTTCACGCTTGTCTCCCATTAGGGTATCAAAATATAGATAATAATATAAATATATATAATAGAGGCACTAAAAGTTGTGAAGTAACAGATTATCTTGGTAATAGAATAACATTAAGCGGTGGAACTAAAGTCATGTCTAGAAATGAAATACATAGATGTAAAAGCATATATTTTGACCAGCGTTCCAAAAAAAAACCGACCACAATTATAGCAAAACCAGTCATTTTGATTTAAAAACTAAACTACCAAATTGATTTTAATAAAATTTGTATGGGACCTATCTGTAAGTATATCCTTTCAGATAGAAAAAGAATTTTCCAAAACGGTTTACAACTAACGGAGTTATGAAGGAAGAAAACATAAAAAAATACTACTAAAGTGAGAACTTGCTTCTTTTTGAAGTAGATTGAAAAAGGTAAGGTAAAATCAGAGAACTACTAAAGAATGAATATTTTGAAGCTTAAATATGTGACTCAATTAATGTAATTTGTAAAATGATTGTAATTTGTATAAAAACCTGTATAATTTATTATTAATACGTAAATATATTGACATTTATATAATATGACGATTTAAGTAAAATACTGTTAGCATAGTATAGTGGCACAATTAAATAAATGTTGTACGCCAGATCCTGGTGAAAAATGTGAACAATATTTAAATATTATATACCAACCTTTATACCATTTTTTTCAAACAAAATAAAGCTATTTGTATTTTGTATTTGTAAAAGAGGTGTGAACTGTGTGAAAAATGAGTTACGTGCAAGTTAAAGAGCGACCTTAAATATTACGGCTGACGAGGGGCAGTGGAAGTAGAAAACATACTCCGCTAACCGCAAACAATGGAACATACAATGAGGCGATGATGATTGATAGGCATCCACACTGGGTATCATGGAAAGTGTACATTCAAGTGTGAACAATCCGAAAACAGTATTCATGCAACTGAAAAGTTTACTCTTGCTTCTCTTTTTTTATCAGTATGTTACGAGACAACTGAGGAACTATGGTCTGGAAAGTAATAACATTAACACATCTTTCACATGGATTACACTACACACATTCACACATACTCACGAACATTTCCACATTCATTTATTCAACTTCGTTTCTCTTAAGGGCGTATATTATCAGTATCTTATAATTGCTTCTGTATCTATATTGTTGATTTTATTACTTTTTTCACTATTTCAATGTTATATTCCTTTTTATACTAATACCCGCCCCACTATCTACTTTTTATTATAACACATTGTGATTTGTTAATATTTGTCGGGTGCCCACGATACAGGTTCGCCTAGTGTGGGGCCCATATTGTATTTGTAACTTTGTGTTTTTTGTCAAATAATAATAAATAAATAAATTATATCATCCGTTCGGCTCGTAGGACTTTTTTGTTTATATGCTATGAATATATTTTCATTTATTTTTAAAATAGAATCTGCAAATCTGCAAATATAACTGACATTTCAGAACAAAGAAAAAGTTTATTTATTGAGCATTGCTTTCGTCTACGCATGTTTGAACAAAACTCTGGTGACCGGTTAGTTGGTTAGAATTATTTTGTTTAATTCCGCTACCATTTGTTTGCAGGCGACTATCAACATTTGAAGATTGACTACATAATATTATTTGGTCTACTAATTGATCGGTAATGAATGAATAATATGGAACGTCGTAGAACTTCTACTGATAATGGTAGTCAATCTCCAAATGTTGACATATTAATGGTAGCGGAATTAAACAAAATAATTCTAATCAACTAACCATAGATATGGAATTCCACAAAATAATACCAAGTTCAGTAAAGTATTTTTTTATGTTAGTTATCTCTTAACTTCGTCAGTTGTAAACACAAACTGCGAAATGCAAATACGGAAGGTTGTGGAATTTCTGGTAGTAATAGTGGTGGTCAATCTTCTAGTGTTGGCAGTCGCACACATACTAACGGTAGCGGAATTAAACAAAATAATTCTAATCAAATAACCAGTGATATGAACTTATGCAAAGTAATAGCATATTCAGTAAAATATTTAAAACTCTGATGAGTACACCATCAGGGTTAACAGAATTCATTCAATGCTTTTTATAATATGAATGAATTCTTTGCTCTTTGACTTTTTTTTTATATTGACATTATAAATAATTTAATTAATATATAAGATGATCATTAATATATTCTAAAGGTGACCATGAGTTAGTTTGTGACTGTTGATTGACATGTTTTATTTTATTTTCAATTTTATTGTATGACTGTAAAATAATTAATGTTATGTAATTAATTGTATTGTATGCCCGATGTATGGGTAGGCTGTTTTGCTTTAAGCCGTTAATAACGTCTTACGAAAAATTGTAATGTACAGCCCACAATAAATATTTATTCTATTCTATTCTATTCAGAATCACCAGATAATTTCACACTAAATTAACAAAATTTTCGATACCGTAAACAGAGATGCTATAAACCGGATACGAGGCAGTTTTAAAACCGATTTTATTATTCGAAAGCCGTAAAGACATTTTGGTAGCGACGTGTTACATAAGGACTTTACTAACTGGGTCGCTGGTGGGGCACGCATCCGTGTTTACATGTTTACAACTTAATAAATGTCTCCGCTACGGTGGTCCATTCGGTGATCATACAACTGGGAAGCAGTTAAAATGATAAAGAAGCATACGTGTGAGACGTATACGCTAATAATGGCAAGAGCCATCGATGTATCCTGTGACATTTGTTAATTTAACTTGCTAGAACCGATGACTGACACCGTGCCTTATTTTTTATTTAAAGATGAAAAAAAAATATATATTAAGAAAAGAAAACCAATCCCTATTTCTATTTTTTTTTTTGACCAAATATGTATATAAATTATTCTTTCAGGTGTTTAACTTATCATTATTATCATCATTTCAGCCGTTTACTTCCATTACTGAATTTTTTTTATATAGAATGACAAACAAGCTAACGGCCCACCTGATGGAAAGTGGTAACCGTCGCCTATAGACATGAGCAGTACCATGGACATAACAGAGTATACTGATTCGCCTATGATACCCCCATGCGTTGCCATTCCTGAGGACTCAGGTGTTATTCTCTGTACCCTGTAAATTCACTGCCATACCGCACCGTTCAAACCGAAACACAGTCATGCAAACACAACTACTTTATGGTTGAAACACGAATGGGATAGGTCTCCCCTATCCATACCCATGATCCATAGATCATGAATTTAAATAACACCAATAGCTCCATTAAAATAGCCCAATTTCCCCTTAAGGAGAGTTTTTTATGGATGATAATGGAATGGTAACCCCGCCAGCGCTAACAGGATATCCTGGCGAGGCACCAGTGCGTGATAATAGGTGAAAATGAAAAGGCAGGTCAATACACCTTGAATTCAGCACGATGAATTCCAGGGAGGACCACGTGAAGATCGACCTGACATGGTATATTGCTAGCAATGGGACCGGTAGTCCACATTACTAACAATTCCTACCCCCCCCCCCTCATGGAGGTATCGTCATCAAAATATATATGATGCGGCCTACCTCCTTCTCGTGGTGAGCTTTCGCGTCGCCGTGTATCTTGTCGCGGAGGGCGACCAGCTCCAGCGGCCAGCTCGACACCTCCGCGTCCGGGTCCGACAGCAGCACCTGGCCAACAACAACAAGAACATGCATATATAAATTATATATAAATATTAATGGACATATACCGCAGCGCCATCTAGTATCCAACTTAGCAAAACTCTGTGTACTCGTTAAACACTACTAGCAATAATAATTTGTATAATGCAAATCATGTACTCATTCATTCATACAAGCGATTCGGCCCGGATTCGCACGGGTAGATAAATTTTTGAAAATAATTTATAAGGGAAAGAATTTTTGAAACCGGGTGAGTATTTTTTGACTTTATCCATTACGAACAATCAAGCGTTTCCGTTTTATAATATTAGTACTTATAGATAAGTATCGGAAAACTGTTATTCGTGTGAGAGTATCGCCCTCTGGTGTCAAGAGTTTTCAGGACTCCTATTGCACATGGAGACGTACAAATGATAAGTAATTTTTTTATTGTAACACATTATATAGACAGAGACAGATAAAAAAAACACAGACCAATACAAACAGATTTATAAATGTATGAATACAAGTAAATATATAGTACGGAATCCAACTCCGGACCATCGAAAGGAGAAGCAATGTGTTAAACTGCTACACCATCAAGGTCTTTTTTTTTGGATGATAACCTTATGATAACTCTTTTTTTTTGTACAAGTCATTTGCTTGGGTACCTCTGTCCCATTCGTGTTTCTACCATGAAGCAGTTGTATTTGCATGCCTGTGTTTCGGTTTGAAGGGTGGGATATGGCGTGAATTTACTGGGTACAGAGGAATAACACCTGAGTCCTCAGGTATGGCAAAGCATGGGGATATCATGGGCGAAACAGTATACTCTGTTATGTCCATGGTACTGCTCATGTCTATAGGCGACGGTTACCACTTTCCATTAGGTGGGCCGTCAGCTTATTTGCCATTCTAAGTTGTATAAAAAAAAACGTTGCCAACCCTGAATAAAATTTAAGACACCTTTTTTGAAGAACTCCATAATGTTTTATCATTATTACATATACAGAATATTCTAAGATTTTTTGTTTATACAACTTAGAATGGCAAACAAGCTGACGGCCCACCTAATGGAAACTTAACCTAATGAATACTTTTGTACAAAGTCTCCCTCCGGCTAAGATTAAGAGCTAAGCAAATTAAGCAATAGTGACAAATATTCCTTATAACACAACCGTGTTTATATCATGACATTGAGATCCTAGCTCAAAGATCAGGCAAAGTGTGAAAAAAAAACCCATTTAAAACACAATTTTCTTCTTATTCTATCTATATAAATCACCGTTAATATTGTGTAGCGCTTCATACTACAAATAGAGCAAGTCCAAGCCACGGCACTACACTTAAGAGACTGGCGAAAACAAGTCAGTAATTCAAGTCATATCTCTATGTCCCACTACAGTCACGGAAGTCTACAACGCTAGGAAATTAAATCTAATTTACTTTAATTTATTTTGCGATAATTAAACGGACTGAATAGATAATGTAACATTTAGATGGAGCGGGAGTGTCTAAAGTCGTCGTAAAAACGCTCAGTCAATTTTTGACTAACGCGACGTTTTGCCATATTGAATGTTCATATGCTCCAGCCTTTCCCAAAGTGGGCGATATCGCCCCCTTGTGGGCGCTACAGGCCTAAAGGGAGGCGGTAAGAGACCCAGAAAAAATGGGAGCGTTGTGTAGACCGGCTTGGGGGGTGATTTGTTGATCCTGAAGTAATAGTGGTTTTTAAGTAGGTGAAAAAATGGGGGGGATTAAAAAATAATTTATTCTCAAAGTGGGCAGTAGACAAAATATGTTTGGGAACCCCTGATATACTCAATCTCTAGTTAAGTTTCAAACTATAATGTTGATATCTCAATATAAAAATTCAGTGTTACTACGAGGTTTGTCCGGAAAGTACGTATAAAAGTTTTTTAAAAATTTTATTTTACAATTATTCAGGTAAATCAATTTTATCCCCTTCAAAGTACTCCCACTGTGACATAATGCACTTGTGCCAACGCCGTTTCCACTGTGAGAAGGCTCCTTGAAAGTCCTCTGGTTGTAGGTTTCTCAGCTGCCCCGTCGTAGCTTTTTTTATCTCATTTATGTCCCCCAAATGCCGCCCCCGAAGTACCAATTTGGTTTTTGGGAACAAGAAGAAGTCACACGGGGCCAAATCCGGCGAATAGGGGGGTGTTCGGTCACCGTAATGGAATTTTTACTCAAAAACTCACGGACAACAAGAGAGGTGTGGGCAGGGGCATTGTCGTGGTGAAGAATCCAACGCCCCTCTCGCGCCAATTCTGGACGAACTCGTGCCACACGAGCTTTGAGGCGTCTGAGCACATCGACGTAGAATTTTCCATCAACTGTCTGGCCTGGAGGGACGAATTCTTGATGGACAATCCCCCGAACATCGAAAAAAACAATCAACATTGTCTCGGCCCTCTCTGTATCTTTTTAGCCACTTGTGGACGGTTGGTTCCTTCACAGCATCATCCCCATAAACTGTTCTGAGATCGGCAAAAATTTCACGGCCATTCTTGCCGAGTTTCGAGAGAAACTTGATTACGACGCGCTGCTCTTCAACGGAAGCGGGCTCCATGCCGACGGGGTTTCGTTAAGAGGTAACTTCACAGATGGCGTGACAAGCCAGTTCGCACCGCACGGCGGTCAGACCAGAACTGAAGCATTGTTAGGGACATAAGGAAGGGGTCCTGCGCTTACCTGGCCTCCCCACTCCTCTTTCTCGCATTCCAGAACACTTTTATACGAACTTTCCGGACAGACCTCGTATATTTGTTCACCCTAATCTCTAAAACCGCTCATCCGTATTTCATGAAATTTTGTAAATGCGCATTGTTTACTTTAACTTTAAATAAGTTTCCATCCTGATAAAAAAAAAGATCCGGTAGGTGGCGATAGAGTACAAAATATTTTTTGCCGGGACAGCTCATATTTACACATGCATATTTACACATGTATATTTAAATAAATAATGATTATAATAATAATAAAAAATCTTAACATTAATATAAGTTTCAAAGCGTGTCAATTCAAGGGTATTCTATCTATATGTTACTAATCTAAGACAATGAATTAAAATAAAATAACATACAGCAATGTCTCCCATTTTCCTTGTAAATTAACTAGAACTCCAATCCACAAATCACACAGAAAAAAAAAACAAAACTCTTTTCAATATTTGATTAAAGAACACTAATTTCGATATTTGATTTTAGAACACTGCCGTCAATTCGAAAATCAAAAACACGTATTCATTTAAAAACAACATTAAAAGCACTATCATAAAGTCGCAAATTAATCGTACGTGGACGATTAGACCTCAAGACTAGACCTGTACTGAACGCGACCGGGGGAACGTCTGACCCTAACCACTTATCATAGTATTGATAATTTAGTAATAATAAAATTCAATACAGTCATATAATGTGTTCATTTCGTTAGATAATGTTATTTACTTACTACATAATTGCTGTTTATATTCTACATAATTGTTAGTTCACAATAGAACATATTTAGTGTGCGGAAATAAAATAACAATGTAATTAGCTAAGTGCCTAAGGACGCCATTAAATACAAGAGATTAAACCATTTTAAAACAAATGGTTTTAGAAACCCTCTAGTAGGTGGGAAGAAGTTTACAAAAACTTGAAATCAACTTAAATTTTAAACTTCTCTGAAAACAATGAAACTGTCAAGTTTCATTGAAACAATAAAAAATAAAAAATTCACAAGTGAAACAAATTCAATTATTTAAAATGAATACAGTTTTAAAAATAATATTTATCTAAAACCAAGCGTGATAAATTTCGAATAAAAAATCAACTCAAATAATTAATGATATTGAGTCAATAAAAAAAAAAAAAAATAGTGACGAATGACACGTTTCATAGTTCACAATAATCAGTTCGAACTTCGAATCATCAAATCATTGGGCATGTTCATGTTAATACTACTATTAAAATAATTACCAGAGGGAGACTTTGTACAAAAGTCGTTTGCTTGGACACCTCTGTTCCATTCGTGTTTTTACCATTAAGCAATTTTTTTTTTTTTTTTTTTTACAACACAGGGGGCAAACGAGCATGCGGCTCACCTGATGGTAAGTGACTACCGCCGCCCATGATCACCCACAACACCAGCGGCATTGCAGGTGTGCTGCCGGCCTTTTAAAAAGGAATATACTCTTTTCTTGAAGGTTATGTTGTCGTATCGGTTCGGAAATACTGCTGCTGGAAGTTGATTCCAAAGAATGGTTGTGCGTGGAAGAAAGTGCCTTGAAAAACGCACGGTGGAAGACCGCCACTCGTCCAGATGATTGGGATGAAACTTTAGTTTGTGGCGGGTTGTACGGTGGTGAAAATCAGCAGCAGGTATCAATCCGAACAATTCCTCAGAACACTCCCCATGATAAATTCGGTAGAAGATGCACAGAGACGCAACATCTCTGCGCAGTTTCAATGGGTCAAGTCGGACAGTAAGGCGTTGACTATCGATAATTCGAGCCGCCCGACTTTGAATGCGGTCTAACGGAAGGAGTTGGTACTGTGGCGCTCCTGCCCACAGGTGAGAACAGTATTCCATATGCGGCCTGACTTGGGCTTTATATAATTTCAGGCGGTGTTCTGGCATGAAATATCGTCTCACCCTATTGAGCACTCCTAACTTTTTGGAAGCTATCTTAGCCTTCTCCTCCAGATGACCGCAAAACTGGACGTCGCAAGATATATCAACGCCCAGAATTCCTAGACTTGACTTTTTATCAAGGGAAGTGCCCTGAAAGTGAGGAGATACGACAAACGGCGTCTTTTTTGCGGTAAACGCGCAGACTTGTGTCTTTTTGGGGTTAAATTGGACAAGATTTTGTTCACCCCAGATCGAAACTTGATGGAGTGAAGTTTCGATTTCAGACACAAGTCTATTCCGGCACTCATCGGTATGTGCCCGCGAGATCTTTGCATGACCGGTATATAATGTATCTCCTGTACTGTCGTCCGCATAGCAATGAATATTAC